GTTCCTACTTGTACTGGGTACATTAATCTGACTAGTAAACCGTTCCTACTTGTACTGGGTACATTGATCTGACTAGTAAACCGTTCCTACTTGTTCTGGATACATTGATCTGCCTGATAATTAACGTGTAGGAGTTTGTATTGATTTTGTTATCTTAGGTGATATTAATGCCTTTTCTGTCGTGCCATGAATACCATTTGTATTGCCTGTGCTCAACACATCTGATCGCAATCACACCCGGTGCTGATGGTCAGTGTAATATATTTACTTACAGTTCCATTCAAAATTCTGTACTTCTGTAAAAGTACTTATTGTATAGTATACAATGAAATTTTAAGATAAGCACTTTAATGGGGTGACACTCTAAAAATGTATACAATAAAAAAAACCAGACAGAAACTTCATTTAGCACAGTTATGAATTAGTGCAATGTTTAAAGTGCAAAAAGTAAAAAATAAATTAAAGTAGCGCTAAAATTTGTACATTTTACATTATTAAGATTTATGTGAAAGATATGAAGAATATTATTTGCAAACCAAATAGTAAGTAGTATTTTGAAAAACGTCAAATATAGATATCACAGAAAACATTCTGAAAAACTGAAAATCATTTGTCGAGTTGATAATCATCATGCCTTTGTATATGCAACATTTTGTAAACTTTAACTTGGAACTCTTCATTCAGGCTGGGACAAGAATTCCTATGGTTACCATGGTGACGACGGCCACTCCTTCTGTTCCTCTGGTACTGGACAGCCGTATGGGCCAACCTTTACAACCGGCGATGTCATTGGCTGCTGTGTGAACCTCATTGACAACAGCTGCTTCTACACCAAAAATGGTGTTCATCTAGGTACGCAGTATTGGTACAGGATTTGGTAAAGAGGCTAGGCATGTTAAGTCACCTGAATATTTGTTTAGGATTTGTGATACAGAGACTGGATACTTACACAAATGTTGTAAAATGATATTGTGATGAAGAGGTTAGGATTATAGAGTCACAGGTAAGCATATGTAGTGTTAGGAACAATGGTTTGGAGATGAAAGCCATCATGTACTTTTAAGATTACCCTGCGTTTTGCTTAAAAAAAATATAATACTGATTGGCACTATAACAATAGGCTCCTTTACTGATTGGCACTATAAAATTAGGCTCCTTTACTGATTGGCACAATATAAAATTAGACTCCTTTACTGATTGGCACTATATCAATAGGCTCCTTTACTGACTGGCAATATAAAAATAGGCTCCTTTAGTGATTGGCACTAAAACAATAGGCTCCTCTACTGATTGGCTCTATAACAATATGCTCCTTTACTGATTGGCACTATCAAATAGGCTCCTTTACTGATTGGCTCTATAACAATATGCTCCTTTACTGATTGGCACTATCAAATAGGCTCCTGTACTGATTGGCACTATAAAAATAGTCTCCTTTACTGATTGGCACTATATCAATAGGCTCCTTTACTGACTGGCAATATAAAAATAGGCTCCTTTAGTGATTGGCACTAAAACAATAGGCTCCTTTACTGATTGTCACTATAAAAATGGGCTCCTTTACTGATTGGCACTATAAAATAGGCTCCTTTACTGATTGACAATATAAAAATAGGTCCCTTTACTGATTGGCACTATAAAATTAGGCTCCTTTACTGATTGGCACAATATAAAATTATACTCCTTTACTGATTGGCACTATATCAATAGGATCCTTTACTGACTGGCAATATAAAAATAGGATCCTTTACTGATTGGCACTATAAAATAGGCTCCTTTACTGATTGACAATATAAAAATAGGTTCCTTTACTGATTGGCACTACAAAAATAGGCTCCTTTACTGATTGGTACTATAAAAATAGGCTCCTTTACTGACTGACAATATAAAAATAGGTTCCTTTACTGATTGGCACTACAAAAATAGGCTCCTTTACTGATTGGCAATATAAAAATAGGCTCCTTTACTGATTGACAATATAAAAATAGGTCCCTTTACTGATTGGCACTATAAAATAGGCTCCTTTACTGATTGGTACTATAAAAATAGGCTCCTTTACCGATTGGCACTATAAAAATGGGCTCCTTTACTGATTGGCACTATCCAATAGGCTCCTTTACTGATTGGCACTATCCAATAGGCTCCTTTACTGATTGGCTCTATAACAATATGCTCCTTTACTGATTGGCACTATCAAATAGGCTCCTTTACTGATTGGCACTATCAAATAGGCTCCTTTACTGATTGGCGCTATAAAAATAGGCTGCTTTACTGATTGGCACTATAAAAATAGTCTCCTTTACTGATTGGCACTATATCAATAGGATCCTTTACTGACTGGCAATATAAAAATAGGATCCTTTACTGATTGGCACTATAAAAATAGTCTGCTTTACTGATTGGCACTATAAAATTAGGCTCCTTTACTGATTGGCACTATATCAATAGGCTCCTTTACTGACTGGCAATATAAAAATAGGATCCTTTACTGATTGGCACTAAAACAATAGGATCCTTTACTGATTGGCACTAAAACAATAGGCTCCTTTACTGATTGTCACTATAACAATAGGCTCCTTTACTGATTGTCACTATAAAAATGGGCTCCTTTACTGATTGGCCCTATACCAATAGGCTCCTTTACTGATTGGCAATATAACAATAGGATCCTTTACTGATTGGCACTAAAACAATAGGCTCCTCTACTGATTGGCTCTATAACAATATGCTCCTTTACTGATTGGCACTATCAAATAGGCTCTTTTAATGATTGGCACTATAAAAATAGGCTACTTTACTGATTGGCACTATAAAATTAGGCTCCTTTACTGATTGGCACTATCAAATAGGCTCTTTTAATGATTGGCACTATAAAAATAGGCTGCTTTACTGATTGGCACTATAAAATAGGCTCCTTTACTGATTGACAATATAAAAATAGGTCCCTTTACTGATTGGCACTATAACAATAGGCTACTTTACTGATTGGCACTATAAAAATGGGCTCCTTTACTGATTGGCCCTATACCAATAGGCTCCTTTACTGATTGGCAATATAACAGTAAGCTCCTTTACTGATTGCCACTATAAAAATAGGCTCCTTTACCGATTGGCACTATAAAAATGGGCTCCTTTACTGATTGGCCCTATACCAATAGGCTCCTTTACTGATTGGCTCTATAACAATATGCTCCTTTACTGATTGGCACTATCAAATAGGCTCCTTTACTGATTGGCAATATAAAAACAGGCTCCTTTAATGTACTGATTGGCACTATTAAAATAGGCTACTTTACTGATTGGCACTATAAAAATGGGCTCCTTTACTGATTGGCACTATATCAATAGGCTCCTTTACTGACTGGCAATATAAAAATAGGCTCCTTTACTGATTGGCACTAAAACAATAGGCTCCTCTACTGATTGGCTCTATAACAATAGGCTCCTTTACTGATTGGCACTATAACAATAGGCTCCTTTACTGATTGGCACAATATAAAATTAGACTCCTTTACTGATTGGCACTATAAAAATAGGCTCCTTTACCGATTGGCAATATAACAATAGGCTCCTTTACTGATTGGCAATATAACAATAAGCTCCTTTACTGATTGGCGCTATAAAAATAGGCTGCTTTACTGATTGGCACTATAGAAATAGGCTCCTTTACTGATTGGCACTATAAAAATAGTCTGCTTTACTGATTGGCACTATAAAAATGGGCTGCTTTACTGATTGGCAGTATAGAAATAAGCTCCTCTACTGATTGGCACTATAAAAATAGGCTGCTTTACTGATTGGCACTATAACAATAGGCTCCTTTACTGATTGGCACTATAATAAAGGCTCCTTTACTGTTGGCACTATAACAATAGGCTCCTTTACTGATTGGCACTATAATAAAGGCTCCTTTACTGTTGGCACTATAACAATGGGCTGCTTCTGCTGAAAACGAGGTGTTTAAAATGTAAAAAGCTAATTTGGATGTATGTGATTTAATTGCAATAAATGTTGACTGTACAGTACCATGAATATTTTAAAGACAAACGTTACAGAGATTGCTGTACAGATGTCACAAGGATTGTTTCCACACAGTTGCTCAATGATCTAAAATATAACTACATTTTCTAATTGAACCTTTCACTGAAAATTAAGTGTAGAAGGCTGATAGTTATGTTAGTGTATGTTTTGCATTCGCACAGCTGTCAATACAAAAATCAAGTAATAATGACACTTTTATTGTTTTTATAGGCGTTGCATTCACAGATCTACCAGTGAGTATTACATTGTAGCTGATACCGACTTGTAGCCCTAAAAGTCTGGTTGTCACGATAAACACTATCTCAAACTCAAAGATGGAAAAGAAAACCCAAGGCATGGCAGAAAATTCCTTTGATTTGTATGATAAATGAGTTATGGAGAGCAAATATATAGTAACATAGTCAGTAAGATTATTAGCCACAAAAAGAGGTAACTCTATTAACTCATTCACCCCTGAAGACACATTTGAACTTTTCCAATTCAAAGGTTGTAATGGTTCATTATGAAATTTCAGGGGTGAATGAGTTAAGAAGCATTAAAGATAAAAAGATGTAGCCAACTTTTTCGGTTGGTTTGCTGGTATATGATTGTACATAAGTATAACCTAACTAAACAGTACAGTTGTATCCATAACTTTTTTGTATCTCTACACAAATAATTGTTGGAGTACTCAATATGGATTTTAGACATAAATGTTGCAAATTTATAGGCTGGTATACAACTGTAACTGATAAAGCTAAACTCATATACTTAACTACAATAAAACATGATTAATCTAAACTACAATAAAACATGATTAATCTAAAATACACCAATGTGTAACCAGTAATATTTACAATATCTATTCATGAATAATTGATGATTTCAGTTGTTATTGATTATGATGTTGCAATATCATATATTTCTTTGTGTTGCAGCAAAACCTATACCCTACAGTTGGGCTACAGAGTCCCGGGGAAGTGGTGGAGGCCAACTTTGGTCAGGCCCCCTTTGCCTACGACATTGAGGACTATATGAGGGTATGTCATGTAGGTGTGAAGCATAGCTCCCTCTCTACCTCCCACCGTTAATTATAGCAAGTTTATCTTGACCCTTTCACCACTGTACACCATAATTGACTCATCCAGATCAACGTATGGGAGAGTCTACTTAAGTTGCATAGGGGTGAAAGGGTTATTTAATTGTATCGCATGATAAGGCTTCTTATATTTAACACTTGCTACTAAAATTCATATTTGAATTCTGTATTTCCGTATTTATCCTGCAATAAGTCCAATAAACTCTTTAATTCAAAAGCAGGGGGTGGGCTTGTTGCAGGAGAATGAAATAGTATTTGTTAGCATTTATACTGAATTTTATTTGACATGAGTGGGTTTATTCGCAGACATGGGCTTATTGCCGAATAGTGTGGTAGATACAAAGACTTTTGAATCTGAAAGAATTTATTTCTCAGAAAAAAGATTATTTTAAATTCACATCATTTGTTTCATTTCTCTGAATTTTCAAAAGTTGTAGAGAGAAAAATTGAGAAAACAGACAAGCTAGAACAAAAGTTGATACTTATATTTCTGCAGTACAATAATAGACTCAGATAATCTGGGTATATTGAAATAATGTTAAATTTGAGTCCAAGTTTTGCTCCAGCAATCGTATAAATCTTGTAGAGATTTCAAATACAAAAACAGTATGTATGAATTATAGTTATCATTGGTGTGCTTTAAGCAGGAGTGGCACATGAAGACCAGACTTACCATAGAAAGGTTCCCGGTGAACGACAAACGTGGAGAGTGGCAAACAGCCTTACAGAGGTAGTAACACACATTCAAACAGCCTTACAGAGGTAGTAACACACATTCAAACAACCTTACAGAGGTAGTAACACACATTCAAACAGCCTTGCAGAGGTAGTAACACACATTCAAACAGCCTTACAGAGGTAGTAACACACATTCAAACAGCCTTACAGAGGCAGTAACACACATTCAAACAGCCTTACAGAGGGAGTAACACACATTCAAACAGCCTTACAGAGGAAGTAACACACATTCAAACAGCCTTACAGAGGTAGCAACACACATTCAAACAGCCTTACAGAGGTAGTAACACACATTCAAACAGCTTACAGAGGTATTAACACACATTCAAACAGCTTACAGAGGTAGTAACACACATTCAAACAGCCTTACAGAGGTAGTAACACACATTCAAACAGGCTTACAGAGGTAGTAACACACATTCAAACAGCTTACAGAGGTATTAACACACATTCAAAAAGCCTTACAGAGGTAGTAACACACATTCAAACAACCTTACAGAGGTAGAAACACACATTCAAACAGCCTTACAGAGGTAGTTACACACATTCAAACAGTCTTACAGAGGAAGTAACACACATTCAAACAGCCTTACAGAGGGAGTAAAAAACATTCAAACAGCTTACAGAGGAATTAACACACATTCAAACAGCCTTACAGAGGCAGTTACACACATTCAAACAGCCTTACAGAGGTAGTAACACACATTCAAACTGCCTGACAGAGGTAGTAACACACATTCAAACAGCCTTACAGAGGTAGTAACACACATTCAGTTAGGTTTATCAAAAACACAGTCAACTTATGAAATGTAAATTATTATAAAAAAAACAGTTAAAACATGAAATGTTATGATTTATCTATTTTCTTCACAATCATGAATGAGGCTCTTTCCTTTAAGTAAACTAATCATGTTTTCTCAAAATAATCAAGAAACAGCTATGTTCGCAGAAGTTTTCAAGTCCTACCAAGAAAACTGAAAAAGACACCCAATTTAAAATTAAAATTAAAATATTTACAAACATCTTATAAAAAAACACGTCTGAACATCTATTTCAAATCTTGAATAGATCAGTAAACTTGGTATGCTGCCACATCCTTGGAAGGGGGAGTTCGGGCAAAATAATATAGGTCACTTTGACCTACATTTTGACCTTTTACCTTAATTAAAAGTGCAAAATATGTCAGATACAGCTTGTCTGTGGTCATCAAAGTTGGTAAGCTGGTACATCTTGGGAAGGCAGTGTCACCCAAGATGGTTATGATCATAACTTCCTGTATATCTCTATGAATTGAGTCCTTAATGAAGAGGTGGAGGATAATGGCAGTGTGTTGTGATCTTGTTACTTATTGGAGGACTTAGTGAGTAACATAAGTAATGATTCAGAAAATGTGTTGCACATTTATAGTTATGTAGACTATAATTATATAAATATATACATTTATAGTTATGTAGACTATATATAGATATATACATTTATAGTTATGTAGACTATATATAGATATATACATTTATAGTTATGTAGACTATATATAGATATATACATTTATAGTTATGTAGACTATATATAGATATATACATTTATAGTTATGTAGACTGTTTATAGATATATACATTTACCTGCCACAGAATTGTGTCTACCTACCTGGTACATCATGGGTACTGTGGCACAGCTGAAGCCTTTGCCAAGTCTACAGGACAATCCTTTGATGAAGAGCTCGCCTCCATGAAAAACAGACAAAGTATGTTTTACCATTCCAATACACCACTCACTGTAACTAGTTTAAGTTTCCTTGTCATGCTTTGTGAAATAAAAATCCATGTTAATTTTTTCTGAAAAATACTGATTGACTTTATGTGTTTAATTGTATGAATGTATTCAAAAATGTACAAGTTTTGCACTTAAGGATATTAAAATGTTTAACAGTCAGAGACACAACCTACAGTGTCTTGATCATTTTGAAAATTTATAAAAAAAAAAAAGAAAGAAAGGAGAGAAAATGTATGTTTAACAAGAAATGAAATATTGCTTTCTGAATTGTCAAATGAGAAGTAAAGGATATTTACAAGTTTATTTCATTCTTTTGGTGCATTTTAACAAGAAATTGTAATAAATTAGAATTTACAAAAACTAGTGGTATAATCATGAGCTCAAATTTGGTTTGTTTTACAGGAATACAGAAGTTAGTTTTAAATGGAAGGATGGGAGAAGCCATAGAAAATACAACTCAACTGTACCCAGGTCTTTTAGAACACAACTTAAATTTATTGTTCATGTTGAAGTGTAGACAATTCATAGAGATGGTGAATGGTACGGACAGTGAAGTGCGTGGTAGTGCGATACGCAGCCCCAAGTCTCGTCATGGAAGTGGCAGCAACAGGTCTAGCCCGAGCCTCAGTCCTGTCCACCACACAAACTCACATTCTCAACGGAACACACCAGTGGGGTCCAGGGGCAGCAGTCCCAACCGACCTATAGGTGTCAAAGGTCATAGTTCAGTGTCAGGATCGGCTAGTGCAGGTCAAAATAACTCTCAGCCCCACCCCACCATAACGTCACAGCAATCCACACAACCACAGACAATGAACAACACTAACAGTGATCTCAAAACGATATCCGAGGAGGAGATGAATGCCGCAAACATTGCAATAAACGGCAACTCCAACTCGAGGTTAATCGATGATAGTGACGATGTCGAGATGATCGACGGACTTGTGAGTGATCACCATGACTTACAGAATAACAAAGTTGTGACAAATGGAACGCTGGAGAGTAACGGCAATACCAACGGGCTCTACCTTAACGGCAACAGTGAGAGTAGTGATCACGACCGCTGTAGGACAGAGGAAATGGGTTAGTTCTTCTCTACCCCTAAGTATCTGTTACTATAAAACCATACAGGAAAACTTGTTCATTTGCCCACTTTATCATATATGTAATATAATCATATATATAATAAATATATCTTGTTTACGTCACAGCCGGTGGTTTAGGATTTTGATAATTTAAGTTCAATAACTCATGCTGCATCGCATCACTATGTTTTGCTTTGTAAGACTAACATTATGATATCATGTTTGAAATTAATAGAATCTTCAGCCCATTTGGGGTGAGATAGCTATTGGGGGATCTTGACCTGAGGGAAGAGATTCTTAAAATGTCAAATACAAAGCTTTTAGAGTGTTTGGCAACCTAAGAATCTTTTCTGTTTCCCTTACCCTGGACAGGTGTATCCGCACTTTTAACGGTGTCCTTGTCTCACCCTAGAATTGAGACGGGGGGATTCCCCTTTTCATAACAATGGCATGACGTCGGCAAAGCCTCGTGTTTGGCAACTTAAGAGTCTTCCCCCTCGGGTTAAGATTCTCCTATCTCACCCCCAAGTGGGTGAAAGATTCTATTAATCACCATCAGGGAAATGAATGATTCTTTTTCTGAAATACGCAGCTCTCAGTTGGCCTTGTTATTGACCTTTATAGAAGGTTGCAGTACATGAGGGTTAATTTATATTTTGTACATGATATTAGTACATTGTTGATATAATGTCATACAATAGTTACTGGGAAATCTGTTCCTCTGAACCCTAGAGTGGGACATCAATATTTCCCACAGGAGAAAGAGTAGGTCCACTTATCTAGGGGAAAGAGGACAAAAGTTTTTCCTGTAAGGAAAGTAGACAGCAGTCTGCGATGTTAGGCACTAGTCCGATGCCCACGACTAGTAAATTTAAGTCTGGACTAGTATTGAAAATATTTAACTAGTCTGACTGGACTAGTGGCAATTTTCCTCCAAAATAATGGAAATATTATTAATGGTATACATTTTGCACTATAAAGCTTGTCACAAGTTCTAATCCTATCGTAAAATATGGTATTCGTCGAAGCTTCGAAGTTGCGATGAGCGATCGTGAGACTGGGTTCTGGATTTTAGTAGTTACCGAACATTACTTCCGGTTTATAACCAAGTGAAACCAACCATGGCGATGTTGCTAAGTTGGAGGAAAGGTTCAAAACCAGCTAAGCCTGTCCATGAACAGACAGAAAAAATTGCTCCAACACGAAAGAAAAATTTACGGTTCTGGCTAGTGCTTAAAGGCTCGATGGAAACAACAGTAATACTGTATTAGAGATACTTGGCGATCACGTTCCGTGCTCCGTTTCTTAAGTTTATTATTGAGAGACTTTTTGTTTAGATTTCTAATAATTTTCCAATTTAGATCACAATTTACACTTCATGCTGTAAAAAAGACCAGTCTGTAATTTGGACTAGTAATTTCACAGTTGGACTATTAAAATTATGGGTTCACTAGTCCAAATGACTAGTAAGTAAAATAGTTAACGTCACAGACTGTAGACAAATTATTATACAGGTACAGAGAGGTGGTAATTTTTCTTTAACATTTAACATTTTCGCTAGCCGACATATCTACCTGTCTGTTTGTTTTGCTAGTGAAATTGTACATTCTAGATAACATCTTGTCACCAATATATGTGTTCCATTAAAAGCCATTACAAAAGAATTATTTTCAAATATAAACGAATTTGTGATCTGAAAATTATCATGTTTTGTATAACCCAGACATTTTCTCATGGTTAACAATGTTCGATACACTTTGGAGAGTTAATTATGACTAATATCTAGCCTCATAAGTATACTTGTATTGTAAATATAATCAACATGCTAAAGCTTGTACATTTTACTATAAATCATAATCATCATTCACTGGATATTCATAATACATTTCATTTCGAATCAATTTTATTGCATTTAAGACACGATTGGATTAGGCACAGGCATTGCCTATTAAAGCCCAAATATTAATATCCATAATACGCAATTACTAAGTCCTGAAATATCAAACATTCCTCTGTAAGGAGTATAAGATACCAAAACAATAGTTGTGTAGTTTAAAGATGTCAAGAAACTGTTTACTTCATGTTTCTGTGCTCATATTTATATGTTTGAAGTGGTTGGTATATACATGAATTAGTGATGGTTTATAAATTACATGTGGTAATTTGATGACAAGGTAAATTTTAATTCATTACAGATATCAAATAGTTTGATAGCTTGGAAGATGTTAATTAATCACAAAAAAAATAGGTGTTATAATGCCTTAGGCACATAAAAGGAGCTATCATCCAGTGTTTGCCTTTTCTGTCTAGTGTACACAATATTTTAGCTAGACTAAACATTTAGCTCCATTTTTCTGATACTACAAGCTTGTAGTCTTCATGAAAAGGAGAAGTGAACCATCATATAAATGCATGTAGGTCACTGTGACCTATATTTATCACTTCATTGAATTTGTTTAGATTTAGCATTTAACACCATATGTTTGGTTAGATTCAGCTTGTAGCTCCATTCACTTGTACTTCAAGCTTGGGTCCCACAGTCATCAAAATTGTATACAGATATGCATTTCCAGGGGTACTTCCATTTATTATGCAATGTGTAGGTCATTGTGAGCCATTTTCTGTTCCACTGACTTTGGTTTGACTTTGCGTTAAGCTCTGGTTGTATGGCTTTATTTTTAGTTTCATTTCTCTAATATTGCTGCTGCCATAGTCATATGCAGATTGATATACATCTTGAGGAGTGCTAGACTGTCATTTGAGATGTAGGTCAAGGTGACCTATTTGTATCCACTTCACTGTCTTTTGGTCCGTCAATGAGGTAGAAGGGTCATATATATGGTTTACAAACATTATCTAATTATGCATCTATTGATTGTTTACCAGTTATATGTAGAACAGACATATGTCACTATTTGTATACTTGTTATGTTTTTTGATTTAAATGAGTTTTAAAACAAACAGGTTTTTAGATATTTTGTATCTTTTACTCGGTACAACAATCATTTTACTTTTTATAGTTAGTAATTATAAAGAAACAACTTAATTTTGATTCAACTCTTAGTAAAAAAATGACCTACCTTTTATCTGACTCTGTAAAGGACTATTCCAGTAAAACATCCATCCCGCCCCAGCACTCTGGAGTCTTGTTTAAAAGTACTACCAATAATTTGCATATAAGAAACAAGCAGGAAACCAAACCATGGATTGAAGTGATTTATTTTGAGTTCTGATGTCAGGTAGATTTTTCACTGTAATAGCATCCTCCTTGTACAAATTGTTTTTCTACTTATCAGAACATAAGAAACAGTTTTAACTTACATTGTAGGGTATTGGTATACTATATATACAGTTGTTTTTGAACCAACCTACATTTCTAAAGATATGTATCTAAAATTGAATTGGAGTTGCATTCCTTTGTATGTGATGCTAGTCATTGCATAGCAACTTATGTTGTAAACTGTTGTACATGTACTGATTAGAAGTTTGTATCTCCACAGACATAGATGGCACGTCAGGCAGGAGACAGCTGTGCGGGGGTAGTCAGGTAGCGGTGGAGAAAATGTTACAATTCGGCAAGGAACTCCAGGCCATGAGTCAGCAACTTAAACGACAATACGGCAAAAACGAAGGCAACAAAAAAGCATTACAGGTATTAAGTCAATACAGCAAAGGATCTTACCAATAGTTTTTATCGTGGACTATGAGTACATCGTTTTACAAAGGTTTTTGAAACATACACAAACTTGGCCTGAATGTTTTTGTTTTTCTAGAAATATTATAGAAATAATAAGTTTTCCCAATTTAATGCACACAGAGAAAAAACATCACACATTTTCTTGTTTAAAACGTTACATTAAAGTTCATTTATAATGAACTTTCTGGGACTTTAAACTAAGGTAGCTGTCTACCTAATGCATTACAGATTCTATGTTCATGATTTCTTGTCAAGGGACTTAATATCAATAATTGGATATATAAGTCTGCTTAAGGAGGCTCCACCCTTTCGCAATTAACCAGCAGAATTCAATGAAAGTTTAACATAATGGTTATGTCACTATGTAGAGATGATTTTATGAAAATCTAAGGGGATAAACTGAGGATTTTTTGGTAAAAAATACTGAGGATTTTTTGGTAAAAAAATACAGAAAAATTGAATTTTTGTCAACTTTATCACTTTCACATTTTTTGAGTGTGAGGCATTGTTCAAAACTATTACAACAATAAAATAATGAAAAGAAGCATTGCTAATCAACCCTACACATTTTTTATTTATCATAAAATATCTACATTATGGTAAATTTACATGTCAGGTATATATGCCTTTGGCACGTGCACGCACATGCACTTGCATTTTATAGAGATCTTGATATTTTACAAACCACTATTTTCACAGAGTTATTGTAATTGCATTTGTGAAATGATTTATCTGACTAGAGCGTAACTCGCTCGACAACAAAAGTCGTAGCGACCCTGAGCTTGTGAACTACTGTTAGCACGTGATATGTACAGGTGAGGTCGGTAAACAAAGCACATCAGTCTGCATTCCATGCGCCACATATACAACCTTCTTGAAGTCGTCTGATCTTATGTCAGGGTCTTCCCGTGAGTTAATTAATGTCTTTGTATCATAAGCTTTATTTCTGAAGTACGTGTGATTACACATTTCCAAGTTAAGTCTAGATATCGGGTGTTGACATATCATCGTCACGCACGTGTACTATTGTTTACCCGGTGTTACTATAATTTACACCACGGTAATGGAATGCCCGATACGCAATACGGAAATGACGACACGAATATACGACAAGAAAAACGTGTATTACGAAGGGTGGGAAGTCCTTAAGGGTATTGGTAATGTGTGATACTGTAGGTAATTGTTAACATATATTATGCACAAGATAAGAAAACTTTATTCCTGTTTCAGGATGCCTTCAGCCTGCTAGCCTACTCAGACCCCTGGAACAGTCCCATGGGGTACCAGCTGGATCCGGTGCAGAGGGAAGCTGTTTGTGCTGCCCTCAATAGTGCTATTCTAGGTACAAGTACAGTTTTCTCACAGATGGATCCAGGAATTCCTTTTTAGAGGGAACTGAAATTTTCTGCTAAAATCCCATCCCCACTAAAAGTTAAAAAGGTTTCACTGACTTTTAAATTGTTTTGGGGAATTGTGGAAGAAAAAACATATTATCATCCCTGATTTCCATTTCAACCCCCACCTTGAACATTTTAGATACTTGAGGCTAATTACCAATTTATGAAAGTGAAGGAAGCATCAAGGAAATTTGAAACTTTTCAGTCAGTTATACAGATTTATCAATAAGAACAAACACATTTTGCTTACCAAACTGTGCATGTACCATCTATTGGCAAAGTCATTAGTGCTTCTTGACTCTGTAATTATTTGTAATATAATATTTTGCAGTTAATTATTACAGTAAAGATCAGTATTGTGAAAAGAAGACCCGAGTCCAGCTACTTGAGATAACCAGATCTGACATGAGCTGTAAGGCCAATGTCATTTACAGGCTGCCAAGAGTATCTGGCTGAGGGACTGAATTTTACAATACTTGTCTATACAGACAAAATGTAAAACTACCTCTGATTAGTTCGACTTGACGGAATGTTCAAACGCATAATGTTTAAAATCCATGTATAATGTTCACAAATTAACTGCTGTAATGACGAGTTACCATGTCAAGTTTATTTTGAATATGTCCATTTGCTAATTAGAACAAATATTTTATTAAAAAATGTTAAATATTAAATCAATGTATGTGATTGAGAGAATATTTCCTTTCATATAACAGTATTTTGTTTGAACTTTTCAGAATCCAATGGCCTTCCAAAGCAGCCCCCTCTTGAACTTGTGATAGCCCAGTCCACAGAATGTATGAAGCTCATGTCAAAGTCCGGTATTGGGTCCTCAGCATTTGCTAGCCTGAAAGACTACCTTCATTGACCCTTCAGTGCCTCATTATCTAGTTGACCTTTGAACTTTCATCATTAATTTGTCCATGGACCAAATCGGTGATAAGGGAACGACCGAGTTTACTATATATGCTAAATCTACTGGATAAATGACAGTTGTATCATCTTGATAGTTTTTATATCAAAATATCTTTTAGACACATGTGGTTGTCATGGTAACTTGTGATCATGTTCGTTGGTAGCCAATGCATGTTATTACAGGATATAGAGAGTTTATAAATGATATTCAAAATAATTGCCTATCAGTGCGTCTGTAAGTTGTGACTGCCAGGCTGTGATTGAGGTGTAACCATCCCTCTGTACAGTGATAAACACTACGAAGGCTGTGAGATTTTAACAAAGGTGGTATTTGAAAAATACATGCATGCGTAATATACTTAAGCTGTGAACAAAAGTATAACTGCATTATTGTGTGTTGAGGTTCAAACATCTGTGCAATGTTGAAACTAGTATGAACTATTGTATGCTTGGACATCTTAGATTGTCATTAATTATACACTCTGTGGTGTACAGCAATCCCCGTCGTCATACTGATTGTCCCGTTATAGGTCAAGAAACCCCCAGTTTATTCCTGTATGTAAAGATACTAAAATTGTTACTGTTTCTGTGTGAGTGAGGATTGTATATATAGATTCACCTATTCTGTATTTTTTGCCGAGGAGAGATGTGTAGGACAATGTGAACTGGTCCATCCCTGTACCTGGTCAGGAAGGTCTGTACAATACAAACCCCTGTCAGTTTGTGTTTCTGACCTGAGGAGATGAAGACAATGTAGACCAGTCTTCTGTTGGGCTCAAGAGATATGTAGTCAGAAAGGCTAGATGTGAATGGGTGTTTATGACCAAGGACATATGAAGGGCATTATATCCTAGCTCTATCCTGTATGTTTAGGTCACCTGTGTTGGTGAGGTAGAACAATGTAGGCCAGTCCTATTGATTTTCTAGCGGAGGTGATATGAAGGACGATGTAGGCTAGTTCTGTTGGCGTGTTGGCGTACGCATTACGTCCAACAGTGTAGAAGTGTACCGTGGCTTTTCTGGCAGAGATGATGTGTCCGGCAATGTTCGCCTGTCGTGTGGATTTTCTGGCAGAGATAATGTGTCTGTCAATGTTCGCCTGTCCTGTGGATTTTCTGGCAGAGATAATGTGTCCGTCAATGTTCGCCTGTCCTGTGGATTTTCTGGCAGAGATGATGTGTCTGGCAATGTTCGCCTGTCCTGTTGTTTTTCTGACTAAGGTTAAAAGAAGGACAGTTTATTCTTTCAAGTTGATTTTCTGGCTGAGATGTAAATTGTTCAGTAAAGATCTGTCCTATTTCTGGGTTAGGGGAATATGTAGGACAATGTAAACTTTCTCTTCTGTGTTTTTGGCTAAATGTTGAGATTTCTCTGTCAATATCTCGCACAGGGATGATAGATTAATGATCTCCCACATCTTTATGTACTGAATGTAATAAAGCAAACTTCACTCAGCACTCTGTCGATCCAAAATAATGTCAACGCAATGATAACCAGTGATACTGAGGTCATTTCAGGAAAAACATGTTTTTTTTCTAACTTGTGAAAGAGAAATAGCTCTGAATTGGAATGAACCTGTGATTTTTGGGAGAAGATTCAGCCTGTATTTCCTGTAATAGTGACCAGTGTTTCTGAAAACTGGCCCTTCTGTGATTCTATCTCGGAAGGTATTCAGGATTATAAAGAACTGTCTTTCTTCTAAATTAAGGAAATGATCCTTCTGTTGTTCCTGCTGAGAAAGTACTAAGGTAATGTAGACCCACAATTGTGCATTTCTGTTGGGGAGGGGAGATCTATTGAATAATTTCTAAGCATAAAAGTCTACTACTATATGTAGACAAGAAAACACAAATGTCAGATTTAATATGCAAAAACCCTTTGTGTATCTTGGTAATGATTGTATTGTAAATAGAAAATGTAAGAAATTTTGTTAAATATTTCTAGAAAGATATTGTATCATGTGAGCCTCTTCTTAGGCTTTCTTCATTGCCAGTCAATTTGAACGAATGCCAAAAATCTACGGAATACCCTCCTTATAAACACGATTGCAATTCATACAATAAAAAACATATCAAGATTACAGTACAAGGAAAAATTCAGATTTTTATATGAAGTAACATCGGGTAAAATCAAGTTACAACTGTTTTTCGTCAGAATTTTCCAGTTTGCCACAATGTGCAAGTAATTTTGCCTTATCAAAAGACAACTAAAACTTTTCATCATTTCAAAGAAAAAAGCGTTTATTCTGCATTTCGTACACTATAAATCTTGAAAACATTTCAGATTTTTTGACGTAAAAAAATCACATTTTTCTTCATGCTCAAGTTTTCATCGACACAGGAGTGGACTTTTGACTGATCTCTGATAGATGCAGAAACAAACTGAGGGCTGGAACAAAAAACAGTTCCCAAGTGTGTTAATCCATTTGTGCAAATCATTGTGAGTGTGATAATTGTAATATAAGAATCTATGTACACGTAATGAAACTATTTCAGGCTTTTTTATTTATTTACCATAACCATATGTTTTAGTGTAATGTTCATTCATGTATGTAGTGAAATCTTAACTATTGTTAAATGATATATATATATACATAATGATTATGCACATGTGCAGAAATGGAAGTTTGTGTAAATTGTTGAATACTTGGATCGGTGGTGACTTTATTTAAAGATAATTATTGAGTGAACAGTTGAAAATAAAAGACATGGATTTCATAAATGATTTTTATTGTATGTATATTACTAGTAGTATAGCTGGAAATTTTTGCCCAGTAAAACTCGCCCTTCGCCCTGAAATCAATTTTAGCTCAATGTTAATTTTGCCCTAAACATCTGATTTCTATGTTTATTGTGCTGTTTACTTATATTCGCTATAACGATAAATTCGCCTTCATTAGGGAAGACAAAAAAGGCAAAAATTTAACTGCAGTATAGATTTCCCAGTATACAGTACTTTCGTAACTTGTGTGTTTTAAATAGCTTTACAATCAGTAGTTTTTTGGTGTTATGTCATCAATACTGCGAGTTACCTGTCGCATACATCCAATCAATGCACAAGAATTGATACACTTCACGTGTCATTACCTCATCTGCAATGAAGTACCAGGGTATGTAATGGTTGTTCGGCTATTGTCTGTCATCTGTCAGCTTCTGTTTTGTTATATGTCCTCCCGTACAACTGAGCTGCATTCAACAACATTTTGGTGCTGGCATCTTTAGGCTATGTGGATCATAAGTTATACAAATAAGGAGGCTAGCCCAGGTTAAATAGTCTATAAATGACATCTCCATAACTGCTCAGATTTCATCTAAACTGTTATTATAACATGCTGAGCCCATGGGGATCGAGATGTATACAGCTTAAGGAAGTAATGTTAATGGGGGCTGATGGGCTGGGTAAAAACAGGTCTAGTTGGCTAATTTGCTTAAAAATGATATCTTCTACCACATTTCAGTGCAAATTTCATACAAATTTGGAATGATACAATGCTAAGCCCCTAGGAATCAAAAGTTTTACAAATATAGGGGTTGACCCTCATAGAGACTTTTTCCAAACAACTAGTCAGAATTCATGTTTATTTCCAAAATAGCCCAGAAATTTATTCAAGATAATTTGGGCTTTTTGTTTTATTCAGTGTTCTCATTGGTTGAAATAACCTTCTGAAACTTCTCTTTTTTGAAAATGGCTCTGATATATATTCATGCCTGTGAAGGATATTTGGTGAAGAAACACTTTAACACTATATTCAGTGTAAGACTTTATCTAATACACAGTTCTACAAGCTCACACTTATGTACCAAAAGGTCGTGGCATAGTGGCCTTTGTCGAGAACTTCTTTTAAGAAGACTTCTAGTCCAAAATGACTAAAGGGATTTTGACTAAAATTGGTACAGAGCACCCCTGGACAAAGGGAGTCACATTGTGTGTCTGGCAGAGGGTTTGGGCCCAATGGGGGTAAATATTTATAAGAATGAAATCAAGTAAAGGTATTTAGAACGTAAATTTATATGAAGCATCCCTGGAAGATGTGAACCTTCTCCCCTTTGCCCCAGCTTAGATAGACAAGGGGAAGTAGTTTATTAATTTTCAATAGACATATATATTCTGTTGGTAATTTTTAACGACGAGTTAATATATTTTTTATGTAAACAATACATAGGAGTACATCGCCAACGTTGTACACTTTATGACAGAAGGATAAAACAGTTAAAACATAGTTGTTTAAAGATTACACTAAAGATAAACTTTAAATCATCAAAGTTTCACACTTTTTAAAATTTGAAACTGATCGGGGGAAAAACAGAATAAATAAAAAAAATACTTCGTAAATTCCCAAATCAAAAACTTCATGAACAAATTTGTCCGTTGTCCCTTGTGATTAAATTATTTATATTTTCCACTTCTTCTAAGAACCATAATTCCTTGGGTCATGATATTTGGCTGACTGGAATTGAAGGCTTTCAATGTTGGTCAAGTGAAGTATCTAAAACATTATGCAAGGTGACCGGGTCGGATGTTTATTTCGTGTGTTAATTTAGTTTTTCATGTGAATATATTCTATTGGTCAGATGGCAGTGCCAGTAAAGGTATAAATGTAGTAATACAAGGGAAGTAACTGCTATAGCAGATACAGATTTAAAATAACATCATTTTGAGGCATCGGATTCAGCTTCACAATTATGTGTTGCTGTAAGAACTTGTTTTGTAGCCAGAATAATGTAAAATGTGACCATTGGTTGAAAATATTTGTTTTATGAAAAATGAAAAAGATTGCATGATTTTTTAGCAAATTATCCGTCTAGTGACTATCATTCAGAAATCTGTATGGACATTAAACAGAATTATATGTTATGTTTGACAACTAAGCACGAAGCCAACAATGCTGACTGAAGGTAAACAAAAACACGCAAAGCATGTATGATCTCACATGTACACTGTATAAAACACAATCACGGGGTAAGGAGCCATAAAAAAGCAAGAATATAGACGGTAGAGGGGGAAAAAAGACGGGTAAAACAACACACATGCAGTACTTAATCATCAAAGAATCATAAACACACATGTATGACGGACTTTAATGCAAGTAAAAAAAGGTAATTTAATTCAAAGGGCAGCTGAGCTTATGCCGTTGCGCAGCGTCTGTCCGGCCGGCCGGCCGGCATCTGGCGTCTGTCCGGCGTCCGTCAACTTTCCTTTAAACAACTTTTTCTGAAGAACCAGAAGGCATAATGTCATGATATTTGGCTGGTAGCTTCCTTACATGGAGCCCGACAAAGTTTGCGAAAAAAACAGAATTTGACCTACTTTCAAGGTCACAGGGGTCAAACCTTCAAACAACTTCTTTTGAAATACCGAAAGGTTTAGAGACATGACAATTGGTAGGTAGCTTCCATGGAATAAGCTGAACAAAGTTTGCTAATAAAAATGACCTTGACCTACTTTAAAGGTCATAGAAGTCAAATATCTCAAAACCTTCAAACGACTTCTTCTGAAATACTGAAATGCCTAGTGACTTTGTATTTAACTGGTGGCTTCCTTGGAATTAGCCAAACAAAGTTTGTGAATAAAAATGAGCTTGACCGACTTTCAAGGTCACAGTGGTCAAATGTGTCAAACACTTATAACAACTTCTTCTGAAGAACTGAAAGGCATAGAATCTTTATATTTGGCTGGTACCTTCCTGGGATAAAGCCCAACCAAGTTTGAGAATGAAAATTAATTTGACCTACTTTCAAGGTCACAGGGGTCAAATATGTCAAATGCTTCAAATGCCTTCTGAAGAAGAACTGAACGGTATAGAATCTTTATATTTGATTGATGGCTTCCTGGGATAGAGCTCGGCAAAGTTTGAGGATGCAAATGACCTTGACCTTCTTTCAAGGTCACAGGGGTCAAATGTGTCAAACACTTATAACAACTTCTTCTGAAGAGCTGAAAGGTATAGAATCTTTATATTTGGCAGGTGGGTTCCTGGGATAGAGCCTGACAAAGTTTGAATACGATAATGACCTTGACTTACTTTCAAGGTCACAGGAGTCAGATATGTCTAATGCTTAAAACGACTTCTTCTGAAGAACTGGAAGGTATAGAGCCTTAGTGTTTGGCTTCAAGCTTCCTAGGAAAGAGCCCTACAAAGTTTGAGAATGAAAATGACCTTGACCTACTTTTAAGGTCAAATGAGGCAAATATGTCAAACACTTCAAACGACTTCTTCTGAAGAACTGGAAGGTATAGAGCCTTAGTGTTTGGCTTCAAGCTTCCTAGGAAAGAGCCCTACAAAGTTTGAGAATGAAAATGACCTTGACCTTCTTTCAAGGTCACAGGAGTCAGATATGGCTAATGCTTAGAACAACTTCTTCTGAAGAACTGGAAGGTATAGAACCTTAATATTTGTCTGGTTATTTCCTGGGAAAGAGCCAAACAAAGTTTGCGAATGAAAATGACCTTGACTTACTTTCAAGGTCACAGCGTACAAATATGTCAAACGATTCAAATTACTTCTGATGAAGAATTAAAAGGAATACATTTATAATATTTGGCTGGTGACTTCCTGGGATAGAGCTCACCAAAGTTTGCGAATGAAAATGACCTCAACCTACTTTAGAGGTCACAGAGGTCAACAACATTTTAAAGGATTTGTTCTTAAGAACTAAAAGAAAGGATTCATTAGATTTGGCTGGTAGCTTTCAGTGGCGGACCCAGGGGTGTTGGCCTAGTTGCCCTGGCAACACCCTTTTTCTGTGTCCAAAAATAATCTGGACTTAGGTTTTTGAAGATTTTCCTCTTTTTCATATGGGATTTTCTTCTAATATCAACCATCCTGTGAACTATGATTTTCTATGGCAAGAAGCAGTTTGAATATCTATATATGCCTAAGGGTGCAGTTGCCCAAACAAGGAATCCACTACTTAACAATAGGGGGGGTTAATCCTGTTTTGTTTATATATTAGTAGGGTCTCCAGTCAGTTCAGTGGTGAAGGCTCAACGGGCTGTCTACCTAATCGTATTGTTCTAATGTCACGGTGTGGTGATCACCCTGTCCGTTGAGAGAGAGGATAAAACCATCTGTTGGAATTAGGTAT